ATGGGTGGGTGGGTTTTTCTCTCTCTAGGTGGGGGGCTTTTTCTCTCACTAGAGCTCCCCATGTTGGGGTTGTGGGACAAAGAGGGGACCAAGTGTGAATGCTTTGAACCTTAACCCTAAAAGCATTTGCTTTGCTCATGAATGATGGAAACAAACCATTAACAATCAAGATAAGCCTTTGTTACTAAGGAAATGAGAGCCAAACCCTAGAAATGAAATAATCTAGGGTCCTACAGGCACCAATTGGGGTGGGCCCAATGGCAAAATGTGTTCGATTTCATCCATGGAGCTGGCTTTTGATTACGGTCCATTTGCCAACTTAATTCGGTTTATATGGGATTTTCTAACCTTATGAAATTGCATACTTTGTGCTTAATCCTGACATCACCTTTAACCAATAGAGTAATAAATTACGACCAAGCCATAGATGAATGCAAAAAAAATCGATGAATCAATGAGTAATGAAAATTAGCATGTGTTAAAGCTTTTAAATATATAATAACTTTAATACCGTTCATTTTATTTGAATGGTGTAGATTGGACAGTATATTAAAAACGTATTCTACACCATCTTAAAAGATACATCAAATCTACACTGTTTAAATAAAACGAATGATATAAAGTATCGTAACATTATTTTTATAAATAAGGTTACAACCTCATAAATATGAGGGTCATTCCTAACACAATAGGACCGCACCTCTCTCTCCCTCTCTTTCCCCTCACCAAAGAACATTCCTTGTGTTTGGGTAATTGGGTGCTAAAGTTAGGATTGGCATTCATAACACCATTGACCCCTCTCTCTCTCTCTCTCTCTTCTTTTACGTAGGTATATGTCTAAGATATTATATTCATATAATACCCATTAAAGCTGTGAAGACCATTTCCATTGAGCCAAACTTAGGTTTTACACTTTTACTTGCTGTTGTACACCATTCAATTTAGGGTCGGGAGAGGGAAAATCCCAAGGCCCTGAAGGCAAGCCAATCAGATAGAATATAATCCCACCTCTGTAAAATTTCATGAATATTAAAACTTGTACGGGCATTTCAAGAGAGCTTAGGAATATTTTGGACTTGAGGGTACATAGGAGGAATGAATATATCCATTGTTTAGGTAGGCAGTAGCCAAGGGACAAATTTTCCCTCCCCTCTATGAAACATTCTATCTCTACTCTCTCCTACATGATGGAATCTTCCCAATTAGCCTCCTCACGCTAAGCATCATCCCAATGAAAAATATAAAAAAAATTAAGAACCCATCTTATGCCCATATGTGCTATGCCTCAAAGTCTTGAGCATGTTTTCCTAGGTGGTCCTGGCTACCCACACGTGGCCGCGAAGACCCATAAGAATTTTTCTGTTTTTTTTTTTTAACTTGACCAATAAGAGACCTTGTTTTGCTGCAAAAAATAGGGAAACCAATTTTCTCTATCTACATATATTTTTTTCATAATCGTCTCTCTCTACTATATTATTTAAGTTTATTTGAGACCATACTTTAGGAAGAAAGAAAAGGTCTAATGAAAGAGATAGCCACCAAGATATCATAACTCATCTTGAGGATTAGATTAAGCAAGGATAAGGAGGAAACCATAAAAGAAAGAAAACCAAAGGTTGTCTCAAAGAATCTTTTACTTTCCTTTTCTTCTATCTAAACTAAGCAAAATTAGGACCACTATCTAGAGCCACACAAACAAGGCAGAAGATATAGAATTGTCTACCTACTAATATTTTAAGAAGTTAGGTCCCCACAATCTCCAAATGCCATCCAGTTAGTTCAAAGTTGAGAAACATAGTGAAGGCCCACAACAACAATGTAGACTCTCAAACCCCATTACCTTAGTTGCCCTACTTGTCTCACAAAACTACGCTTAGTTTAGGAATTCTAATGGTATCCGATGCATTATTGCATGAATAACTGCACTAAAATGTGACCTACTATAATGTCATTAGGGGTAGAATGGTCTTTTTGCACAAGAGAGGCACTTTTGGCAATTTGTGTGTGTGTCGGATTTCAAACTTTGGATAATGCGTTCAAGCCCTTGTTAACCCCACAAGGTGGAGAGACAAACATCCTATTTTTTCTCATTTTAGGGCTGAACTTCTCTATATGGGGTCAATGCAGAGTCAAGACTTGAATTTTCAATAGTAGTTTGGCATTATCCCAGCTGTTGGATGTCTGGAAGAACGTTACTTGATTCGTTTCGCTTCAGCTGAATTGGCCGAAGTCTTCAGTTTCAGCCCTTAAATCGGGGGGAAGCAAATCAATTTGGTGTATCGATGATGTATTGATGACGTTTCGTAATGGGGTTGGGGCATCTGTGTTTAGGACAGCAGATGCCTCAACATAAATTGGTGACATTTTATGATGTGGTTGGGGCATCTGCGATTAGGACGGAAGATGCCTCAACACAACGACCCACTTCCAGAAGGTGCCTCAACATAATGTCCCACCTTCCATTCAGGGAAGTCCTAGCATATATTTTTCCAGAAATGCCTTTTTGTATGTATTTTTTATTTTTATTTATTTGTTAACAAAACTACACCCTAAAAACCACCTTAGAATAGCATAAGAGCCAAAGCTCACCCCTGAATGAAGAGCTCTCCGGTGAAAATCTGATAATATGGGTAAACAATACAATCACCTCACTTTCCTGCATTTGTTCAAAATCGCCTCAGCCATCACTGTTGACATCGGAGGGCTGCAGTGATTCCAATTATGTAGGAAACTCAAGCTACTCGAATTCGACACTTACCCTAGATAAAGTCAGCTGCTCATGAGGCACGCTGCAATCAATCTCTCTCTCTCTCTTATAGTGTTATTATTATCATGCAAAACTAAATCAGGTTAAAAGGATAAATACTTGCCTTTCTGTTATGGGTGCGCTTTGTATGGAACCAAGGCTCTAAACAATCCTGCCTTCAAACAGAAATGTAGTTTCAATGCTGAAAGTCATTGTGATCGCCTTAAATTATATTTTTATCTTTAATTATAAAATTTAAAACTTCAAAAATAGTGCAGATCGAACAGATCTATGAGAACTTGAAAATCTTGAAAATTGACAGTCCAAAAATGCGTTACAATATGCACTATTTTCAAACCGTGAAATCCATTTTATTCTTATATCTATGCATCTTAATGTTGAGATTATCATTTAACGATATTTGGGGACCAAAACAACCTCTTCCAGTGAATTTTTTTAGGTAGGCTCTAATTTGATTGTTTAGAGCCTTGGCTCTATATAAACTTCATAAAATGACATTAACCCCCCTCCCCAACACTTCCATCCCTATTAGTCCCTTGGGTTCACCAAAATCCCGTGTATCCCCTCAAATTTAAAATTTTGGGACTTTTAGCCCTCTAATTATATTTTTCTTTGGTTTTTTACAAATTTGATCTTTTTTATTTTACAAAATTTCCCCTTCCCTTTCTCTTTTGTGCCTAAAATCAATCTTACCTCCTTGGATTCCACTCTATAAATTTAGACTTGAAAAAAAAATGAAATTTTTTTTAACATTATGAACTATTTTACAATTATATCAATATCGTTTGAACTTGAAAAATTATTAATCAAGATATTTGTTATTATTGTTAATGGTTATTATTATTTATTTATTAAAAAAAATTATCAAAATACTTATTTATAATAATTATAAATTATTATCATCAATAAAATTTATATATCAAGTCAAAAAAATATTTGGATGATTAATGTATGGGTTTAACATTTTATAAAACAAAGAGATCATATTTGTAAAAAAAATAAAAATATATATATATACTTAAGAGGCTAATGAGCCTAAAGTTTAAAACTTGAGGAGGTGCAAGGGATTTCAGTTATAACTTTTTCCTTCTGGTGTTCCCGCATTCTGTTATTCCCGCAAGACAGTCAATCTCAATCATTTCTCTTACCCTTCTGTTGTTCCCGCATTCTGTTATTCCCACAAGACGGTCAATCTCAATCATTTCTCTTGAAAACGAGCATATATTCCTCATTTTCCTTTGCTTTATTCCTTCACTCATGTAACCAAATATGGTATATGATGACGATGATGGCCAGTCCCCGTCTTTCTTTCTTTCTTTTTCCTCTAATATTATCTTCATCTCAAAAAGTTAGGGTTATTCATCATTTTCCCATTTCCCTTCATTAAGTTTTAAAAAATGGTGATCCGAATCCGAACTGGTCTAGCCATCCCAATTTCGAGAAATATTAGGAACCAGCCGGTTTTGACCAATTCTCTTCATTAAGTTTTAAAAAATGGTGATCCAAATGGAAACCGGTCTAGTCATCCTGATTTTCGAGAAATTTCAAGAACCATCTATGAACCATCCGGTTCTGACTAATTCTCTAAGAGAACCCACCTCATTTTATTTTAAAATTTTTCAATTTTTTGTTAGCCAGTTCACTAGGCTAGATCTGCACGCCACTGGGCTAGATCGCCCATCCGGGCCCCCAATCTACTGAACTAGAGGAGCTCAGGCCTGCTCAGACGTGAGCTTAGCTTCCAACAAGAATATCCTACTACTGCAGACCGACCGCTACCCTAGGTTTTGAGAATCACGTACTTCTTTTTCTCACAAGAACGTATGTGAAAATGAACTTACCGACTGGTGGGTGATTCTGATTCCATCACCGCTTGGTCTAAGTATTCATTCCCCTTTTTTATTCAGGAGGTGAAGTTTAGGGGTCGGAGGGACCTTTAGACTAGACATTCTATAATAGCTTAAAGCCACTGTGAAAGCATCAAGACAAAAAAAAAAAAAAGTACAAGTGAAGGTCACGAAGTCACTTAGTCGATCAATAAGTAGAGAGGGTAGGTAGGGTTAGTTTAGGAAGGCACTAGAGATTGGTTTTCGGGGCAATCCGGGTCACGGATCCACTTTTTTAAACCTTGCTCTTCACCAATTAGATGCATGCCTCCAAAGAAAAGCAAGTACGTAAGTCTTAGTAAAAGGCCAGTAAAACCGCAGCTTAGATAAACCCTGAGCCAGCCGGATAAAAATAATAATAATCTAAAAACATAATTATGACTGGAACAAGTTCTTTTCAAACAAGATATTATGAGTGGCAACAGATCAACCAACGTGGGCCCCACTACCCATTTGCTCCCATTATTTTATACCTATGAATATTGATAAAACCCATATCCGATCATCATAAAATCATGTTATTTATTGTTATTATCATCAATTTGCGCCATTGATATTATTGTTACTTCTCACTTCTCTAATCTATAGGGCATCTTTGGAGAGAAGATTGCTGGCTCCGATTTTCCGGGCATTGTTAAGCGGGTCAACACCATCGCCCCTCTCGAAAACAGCAGCAGCACCCATCCCAGTGCCTGATGCCAAATATTAACAACTAATTATTTGGGCATTTAATTCAAGTAAAAATAAGAAAATAAAAGAAAGAAAATAAATAGCAGAATAATGTGTATTTTTTATAAGCTTGTACCCACCTATGCACATGGATATGACCCCGAACCTGCAATCTTTGCCCTGTCGCTTCATCTCATGCAATAGTGTCGCAACACAACGTGCGCCTAGAACACCATAACAACTAGCAATGTTAAATCCTGAGAACCTAACAAATTGATAAAAATCTAGTAATATATGCGTGTGTGAAAGAGAGAGAGAGTGAGTGAGTTTACATTCTATTACATTTTATTCTAAGGCAAAACGAAAGATCACTCAGCATAGCAGTAAAAAGTCAATGATAATGATTTGCTGCTACAGCATGCCCCCGGAGAGTCATAACAAAGCAAATATGAAAAGCCCTAGACAGTTAAAAACTCTCAAAAGCCCCTAGAAATAAAAACACCTCCCTCTCTCTCTCTCTATCCATCTCTCTGTCTCTCTCTCCACACACACAGATGCACGCTGGTGGTTATTACCATCCTGCTGCGAATGCTGCACAGATAACTGCAGCAGATTCTTTTTTTGTCTCTTGATAAATTGCTGCATTAGATATATGACCACAAGGCCCACCCCAAAATGGATGCTCCAAATGATTCTAATAGACACATCATTGTAAGCACCAAACAAAATATAATAAGGTAATGTAGATGGGGACACCAACACAGAGACACACAAGAAACAAATCATGCCATGTGCATATATACTGATACAGATTCATTAAGATCCCTTCAGGAACATCATGAAGGCTTCACTGGTTTCCTCGTGCACTCAAGATTTTGTAATCGAACCTATAAAATTTGATCAGCTAAGGACTTTATTTTATATGAAAGGATTAACTTTTCTGTGGGAGTTAGGATGCAAATTGACACACTCAATCTTCCCATGACACAAATACCCCGGAATCCATTTTCTGGATGACTAAATTAATTATCAAAGATATGATGGCTACCAAGAAAAAATAATGTAAACAAGCAAAAGTAGAAACATAATGGGTAAGATCACTAACCCAGAATTGAATGAGAGAGTAAGACTTCACCAAGACGAAGATAGAAATCATCTCATATCGAGAAAGGTCGACCCCGAAAGCTAATATGGGAAGTGCTCTTTAAAAAAAATGTGACATGGGAAGTGCTCTTTAAACAAAATGTGTCAGACATGCCATAGTCTTTAGAACACTAATGTCTAACAAACTGATACAGGATAAAATTATTCTTATTTACAGTTTTTATTCAATTTCAAAAGATGCCAATTTGATTTTACTTTTAGGGTTTATTTTTAGGGTTTTTTAAGTGTTTTTTGGTATTACGAAGTTCTTTTACTTTTAGGGTTTATGTTTAGGGTTTTTAAGTATTTTTTGGGATTCTGGGGTTCTTTTGTATTTTTGTTTACTATTCACAAGGCTATTCATGGGTACTGTTCATAGAGTACTATTCATGGGTACTCTCCACGGGTTACTATTTAAATTTGTCAAAATCAATTTTGTATTTAATTTACGTATGTTTTGAGTTATTTAATTATTGTATAGACATTTAATGTTTTTTAACATCAAATTATAACATATAAGAGATGTGAGTGGGGCCTTGAGGGGGTCATCCACATGATTTTTAGATATTAAAAAAAAAAAAGAAAAAAAAAGAAAAAGGGATACACTTTTGGAACCCTACCTTTGGATGAGGAGGAAACCGTAGGTTTCTCATAGTTTTTAGTTGTGTTCGCATGTTTTCTTGCCGATTTTACTGCTTTCTCAAATTTCCTACACCAAGTGGTATCAGAGCTCAGGTTTTCTTCAACAACAAAGCCGGGAAACTATAGCCAAACCTAGGGCTTGCTGATTTTGGGCCCAGTTTTGCCAAATCAGCCTAGATCTTGCTATTTTCAGCAAGTCTTTGTTGATTACATGTCTGGGGTTCATGATTTCAGTGAACCCATGGTGGAGAAAGAAGATCGTGGAAGGGCGTTTCATAGATCCACTATGTGATCCCAAAGATGAAGAAATTGAATAACTTAAAAGGCAAGTTCGACAGCTAGTGCAACAATTTGCGAGCATCATTCATAGGTAAGACGATCATCTTCCCGCCCAAGAAAATGTCAAGCACAATACTTTTCACCTCTGTGCTCCACGTGAAGAGCCAATTTTGGGATTTACCACTAATCTTCGATAAATATTCGCATGCACAACAAGATCTTTTATAAGACATTGTGGAAGATGATCTTGCTCGTGAAGAATATCGAGAGAAGGCAATAGGGGAACTGATCAAAATCATGGCCTTTGAAGATCTCAAGGATATCGAAGAGGTGGAGCATTAAAACAATTTAGGGTATTGGAATCAGAGTAGCGCATATGAAATATGGTCAACTCATAAACCGCAAATTGTAGCCTTGATCTCATAGTGTAATAAAATAGATGTGTCAAGAAAGCCTCTAAAAGTCAGAAAATTAGTTTGAAGTTTCCTACAAAATTTTCAATGCGAGTTCAAGGATAGCCAAGTTTGATAGGTCTCTACCAATTCTTTACCATATGCTAGGATCCATTTCTTGGGGATTTCTTCTTACAACAAATAATATTTGAGCCAACAAAGTACTACGTTGAAAAAGGTGGTTTTGATGTTAAATTCATCTTAGCACACTTTAAAACTCGAGGACGAGTTTTCTCCAACCAGGGGAGGATGATGAAGGACAAAATTATTCTTATTTTTAATTTTTATTCAATTTACAAGGACTTATATTTTAATTTTAGTGTTAAGGTTTATTTCTAGAGTTTGTAAGTTCTTTTCAGGATTCTAGGGTTCTTTCGTATTTTTATTCACTATTCATGGGTGCTTTTCATATGTTCTATTTCAAGGGTATCGTTCACAGGTTATTATTCACAAGGTAAAAGTGCCATTATGAATTTTGAGCTTAAGTTAAGGCTTTTTTTTAGTCATTAAATTATAGACATTTAATGTCTTTGAATATTAAATTATAATATATAAGAGACGTGTGGGACCTTGAGGGGGGATCATTCCACATGATTTTTAGTGATCGAAAAAGAAAGAAAAGCATAGGCTTTTGGAACTCTAGCTTGGGGCAAGGAGGAAACACTAGGTTTCTCCTAGTTATGGCTTATGTTTAGCATGTTTTCTTGCTAATTTTTCTGCTTTCTCAAATTTCCCCAAGTTAAACATTTAGAGGATCTGCATTCCTAGTAGGCTTTTAGGTGCCACTATGTATGCCAATAGGCCCTATTGGGCCTCTTCCCTAAGCAGCTTTTTTCTCTTTTATGTTTTGTTTTTACTGATCTCTTTCCTAGGAGTGTACTAAGTTTGCTGCGTCAGTTCCCCTATAACTTCACTCCGACATCACTTAAGCTATGCACAAAAAGTATGACCGGCCAATCACCCAAAAGAAGAGAAGAACAAAGAGCAAAGAGTAGTTGATTTGTGAATGGCTTGTGATCTAGAATCTGATGACCCAATGAAATGTGGCAATCCAATTGTTGGGTAAAATTTCTTCCAGTACTTTCAGTTTAAAAAAAAAACTCCCAACATTTTAACAGCTACTAAAGCTGAATATCAATAACTAAACAAACTATATCCAAATATGATTTTGGAACATCCTGGTTTCACAACTTCCGATCAAAACCTTCTCGATATTGGTTCCACCAGACGGTTATTATTATTAGCTTTTCATCAGTAACCTTTTCTATTCAAAAAGGTAAATCATATGATTGTTGGGAACCGTTAAACCCCGACTGAGTGACAAAAATGAGTTGTATCTGTTCTCTGATACAGAATTCGGTGGTGCGAACCAGATAGATGGGAATACTCATAACACAGTCTATTTTGATGTCACAAGCTTCTTTGATTAGTGCTCTTCTGGTTCAAAATTTTCAAATACATGGTCATTGTACAGCTCATGTTCAACAAAACAACAAAGAATTTTTTAGCCAAATCCAAGAAGCAACCATCTCTCGATGCAATACAAAGAGCAGGGGCTGAACACTACACATACATCCAGATCCCACAATTCCTTCAAGAATCCCCAGCCTATAGACATCCAAATAGGTAGAATAAGCCCCTAATTCAACAGCCTCAACCTATGGTACCCTTTTTCTAGGGAACAAACCAACCTTCACTGGATCTCTATATATGGGATAAATCCAAATAGTCCAACTCACTACTTAAAAACCTGCCTCCTTGCCATTGGAATATGCACAAAACTTTAGGTGTGATAGTTAGGACACTTTTGCTCATGTAGTCCATACTCATAGGATAATTGTGGCCTCTCATTCTCCTCCCCCCCCCCCCCCCCAAAAAAAAAAAAGAAAAAAAGAAAGAAAGAAAACAATTGCGGCCTCTCTAATAGAGATTTCATAATGCATCAAATATGATGGCCTTCAAAAGGTCTTAATGCAGTTAGACCACTATCTTTTTGCATGGCGGAAAAGACAGAACATCATCCTTCACATGGCTTCCAAAAAATCCTGACTAAAGCGCCGCTTACTGCACTCCTTCCTTAAGAAGATACGAAGAATATAATATCAATGATTCCCTAAGATTCACAATCCATATAAAACAAATACTGAACTTGCTCCCAAGCCCCAACACATTATCATTGGTGTTTAATCCTCATTTATACACCATAGTTCCCCTACGGAAGCATTTTTTGGGGTTGAGCACCATTAACCACTACATCAACTCAATGCATACCTGCCATAAATTCCCACCCTTTTTATAAGCTACCAGAACGCCAACATTTTCACTCGATTCCTCAGTAAAACAAACTTGAGTTGTGAATCTTAGCTCAATTAAGTTAGGAATCTCCTCCCCCAAGCAAATGCAAGTAAGTTTTAAATCCTCAGAGGAATCCCCTCTGAGTTTCATCTTAAATCAGCCCACCCAGAATCAGCATGTGTCCATGGCATCATAGTGTTTGTATCCTTAAACCACTCTAACTCTAGATAGCCTGAGTTCCCAGTCTTAAGGAAACCATCCTGATGTGCCTTGTCAATGTCCATACATAACATTCGAAATTTCATCTTTGCTTTTGTCAAAGATAAATTAGCATAAAAAATCCACTGCCAATGATACTACTAAGCAAATAACATGGCCATACAAAAGAAATAGCCCAAAATCATAATGCTAACCATACTACTCCACAAACAGAATGAACATAAAAGATATAACCCACAACTCCATAATTAAAAGTGAGAGACAAAGATTAAAGGCCAGCCAATCCCATCTCCTGTGGGATCACTTAGGGCAAGGGCAGCAAGGCAGCAAACTGTCCACCTTATACTTAGCACTGGAGCACCAGCAATTACCTCTTTTTTGTCTCCTTCACAAGAAGTCCCCCAAAATGAGGGTTCTGCCAAGGGTATCCTTGGTTTAGGATTACAGTACTCATTTTTACACTCAAAAGAGCAGGAGTTGGGGTAGAAGATGGGGAACATAATACCTCTAAATGAACTGAGGAACGTAAAGTAGATTGCACAAATTCCTTTAGATGATAATTGACTTCCAAAAGCAAACTTCAGACAGTTTTTTCCCCTTATTTTATTTACTATGAAAATAAATGCTAAACTATAAATAAAATCAGAATTTTAACCTCTCATTTAAAATATGCAAGTAAACAAGTACAAATAGACTTTTAGAGGATAATCGAATTTTGTGCTGTTTTAACTACCTGTAGCACCCAAAGGATGCCCAATAGCCATTGCACCTCCATTAACATTTACTTTCTCTGGATCAAGCCCCAATTTATTGCGGCAGTACACAAATTGAGAGCCAAATGCCTACATTATAAAGGCAGAGAATTACTTATATTAGTTTACCAAAACATGTCAAGGAAGTAAAGATGAAAACATCAGAAGAAGTCAATACCTCATTTATTTCAAAAAGGTCAATATCATTAAGTTCAAGACCAGCTGCCTTAACTGCAGCAGGAATTGCAACAGCTGGACCAACTCCCATGACGGCAGGATCAACTCCAACAGCCACAAAGCTCCTGTGCAAATGAATGAGCAGTTTTCTCAAAAATCAATGCACATAGTAACTTCACCTCTTACGATAAAAGATTCCATTTTGTAAAACAATCTGAAGAGACCTTCGATAGGAAAGAAAACAGAGTCAAGAAAGAGATCCGTGTCGGCTGACCTCAAAGTCCATCATGACTTTTTAATAAAAGAAATCCTCATTATACTCATAATTTATTAATAAGGTACATCAACATCATTCTTTAGGAGGGAACCGAGCATAATGCATAATAGACCAGTAAGAACTATCAAGTTCATGTTTAAAGTTTCCAAGGCTTCCAAGTTATTCAATTTCAAAGTATAGTGGACCTAAACAAGCCAGTGACAAACATTATGATAGAAGCAAAAGAAGAAAACATGCTAGGAAGTAGGTACTTGAAGAGGGAGCAACACAGTAATTGCACAGTTTCCAACTTCTATGTCAATTAATTGTGTGATCTGATTAGTAAGATCATAATGGATGATGATGATGATGATTGTGCTTATCAGATATGCATTTGATAATTAATGTCCAATTTCCAAGCATCTAACAACCTATGCCTTTGAGTAAACAATCGGTTACAGATCATAACAAAAATGTTTACCTGAACACACCAAAAATAGGAAGCCCTTTCTGCAATGCAACAGACCGTCGCATTAGGAGGACTGCTCCTGCTCCATCACTTACTTGGCTCGAATTTCCTGATATTTATCAAAAAGTTGTAGTTTAGTATACATACTCAATGAAATAGTATTATCGAGGAAAAAATTGAACTAGCAGGAAAAAAGCCAAATGATAGTACTGTATTAAGATTCTGCACAAAAATGTCAAATATGAAATCGTTCTTGTTGCACACCTGCAGTGGTGGTCCCATCCTTCTTAAATACAGGTTTCAGCTTTGCTAGATCTGCCAAACTTGTGCTCGGTCGAATTCCATCATCAACAGAAATTGTAACACGTTTCTCCGCCCCGGTTTTTGGGTCTACAATCTAGAGAAGGAGAGATAAGGATTCATCAATTCCTAAGACATGATATTGTATAGCACAATGTAATTAAAATGCAGACTACCAATAGAAATGCCTTGCCTCATAAAAAGAAAACCCCAACAACCTTGATTCAAAAAATGAAAAACCCATCCAACCAAAGGAATAGACAATGAAACTAACCTTTGTGTCAACTGGAATAATTTCATCCTTAAATTTCCCAGCAGCAGTGGCCGCCGCTGCACGTCTATGAGACTCAACCTATGCAGGCATCTTTGAAGTTAGAAGTCTTTTAGAAACTAAACAAAACAATGCTTAGAAAAATTTCTACCACAAATTTAGAACTCACAGCAGCCTGATCTTGCTCCTGGCGTGTCACACCAAAACGATGAGCTACATTCTCAGATGTGATACCCATTGGGAGGAGGCAATCTTGAGCTTGTGTGTTGGTGCTTGCCTATGACAAAAAAAAGTGGAAGTAGATGAATACCCTCCAGGACTGTAAAAATTTAAATTGAGTTCTCCATAATTCAAGTATTTCCATGAATGACAATTCATCAGATTACCAAAGGCTGCAAGCAACCAAATAGAAAAGAAATGAGCTTACTCGAGGATTTATTGAGCCATCCCAAGCCATGGAATTTGCTGTCATAGACTCCAGCCCAGCCCCAATGCCTTCATAAAACAGAGAGAGCAGTTAAAATAAGAAGGTAACAGGACAAAGTCCCAAGCTATATCAGAAAATATAGAGATATTCTTACCAATGTCATAAAATCCAGCTTTTATGGCAGCAGCAACATCAGCGACAGCTTGAAGGCCAGAAGAACATTGACGGTTCACAGTTCTCACAGGTACAGTTTCTGTATGATCAAGCAGGTGTGAAACCAGAAGCTTCTGCCAAGAAAGGATATACATAGGGAATCGGGCATAGGCCTAATTGGTTATGGTGTTGAAAATTGCAACACCACATCCCATGTTCGAAGCCCAACACTGACCTACCCAAATAAGAAAGAAGGGGAACAGGATACATTCAAAAGACAAACTATAAAACATACCAGGATATCCAGCATAAAATGCCGCCATCCTGCATTCACTTGCTCTTTGAGATCCAGGTGCTAAGACCGTGCCAACAACAATATCACCAACTTCCCTTGGGTCCAGCTTAGTTTTGTCTATCAAGGCCTACAATGAACAACATTTCTGAGGTAAGCCAATGGCAGAAAACAAAATAGAGAAAATTAAAGATGTGGTTTTTCGGTGACCCAGTCTTTATTTCCCTAATGTTAGGCATTGCACACTTTATTACATGCTCTCTACCACTCATGTTGAAATTCTCTTGGCAACCAAAACGAATGCCAAATGGTCATCTCATATAACTGCGTAACACCATCACTATAGGATCTTTTTCCTTAAGCAGAGGTTACCAATAGAAAGCTACTTCTTGTAAGCTTCTAAAACTAATTAATGCAACAAACTATTATATAAACCTTGAGAACAGGGGCAAGCAGATCCTCAGGGAAAGTATCCTTGAAACCACCACGTTTGGACTTGCACTGAGCAGTTCGATACGCTCTAGAGGACATTGAAAAAACCCATATTATTACAAACAACAAAACCAGAATAGAAACAAATAACTGCACGACACCCGGAAGATAAACTAATAAGCGGAACCGTGAAATTACAGTCACAGATAGAAGATTCATAGAACTTACGCCACAATCACTACATCATCTCCAAAAGGAGCACTCCTTGCATATGCCGCGCTATCCCCAGCCAAACAAACAGAGGCCTGACCAATAAAATCAAATCCATATTAATAAAGTATAGCACAGAAGCATCTCACTCAATACAAACAGCAAAAATCCAAAACCTAGTTCGAATATATACTCAAGCAGTAACTAATCTAAATGAGAGAACATCTCCACAGAGCAGACAGGTTGAAAAATTCAATCACAAAAATATTGGGAAACACCATGCCAAACTACATCTGTAGTGGAGAGTGATGACAAATAATAATCCCCTGTACTTCAAGGAAAAAATAAGCCCATGACCTAGTTTACTCCTCAAAAGGAAAAATCCAACTCCCATTGGATAAACAAACCAAGGACCAAACTAAAGCTAATCACATCAAACAGTTTCACCAGTTCAAGTAATTCGTTTAACACCAAATAATGCTATTTCTAACACAAGCATGAATCTCATAATTTAAAATGCACCTATAAAGTCATTGGACAGTCCATACAGAAGAACTAAGAAATCCTTTAAGATTCAATGGGATTCATTTGAATGACAAGAACGCCAGAAAAAATAATCAGAAAAGCTTTTATCATAGAATCAAAACTATTTTGCAGGACAATGACATTCTATTTGAGAAAGACTATAGCATATACTATTCAAGAACCTGCTCTGCTGGCAACCTTCAGTCAAGACCAGCCCCAAAACATCATTTGATTATAGAGCAACTGAAAATTGTTCCAGACATACAGTTACCAATCCAAAAAGAATAAATGAAAGCAAGTCAACACTCGACCCAAGTCCATGGTGTAGAAATAACTCTAAAGCTCCATAAACCTCAAAATCAGGACCCAAAGCCGACCAAATACCAACTATTAGTGGGCAAGGGACAGGTCCGTGGACTCACTGATTCCCGAGTCTGAGAGGCCATGACTAGGACCAAATCAACTGGTTATTTAAAAGACCAGGGTGGACTCGAACTCAGTCAGTCTCAGATCCTCTGAGTCAGGGCCATCCAAATTTGACAGGGTATTGGTTCTGAGAACTCGAGTGTGAGTCAAACCCCCCGTGTTTTAAACACTGACAGCTACTCAAGACAATCAAACAGCAGAATTACATTTGTATGCCAAATCCATGTCGATTGAGGGCAACCATATGGCCAAAATAAACAACAATTCCAGATACAAAAGAGCATACATCTGACCTCCAAAACAAAGCATCATAAGTGATGGAATCCTCAACCACAACGAGGCTAGTTTTACAATGAAAATCAAAGCAAATTAGAACAGAGACTCAAACCAACATGATAACATTTAGTTCACAACAAGATTCCACTATCATGGACACAACTTATTGCGCATAGTTATTATAGGTATGCCACATTCGAAATGGCGTCTATTCATTGAAACTGTTCCATCCAAATCCAAATTCAAGAAAACTACGAGTACCGAATTCTAGTTACTACAAACACCTGGACTCCACATAACTGTCACTACTACACAAAATTAAACTATGAATAAATGCATGACCTGGATACCCTACCGATATCACTGCATTTGGAAAAAAACCCAAACAAACCCAAACCCTGACAAATGAGAGAACAACCACTAATATATAAAATCTATAATAATGACATAAGAAACCAAAGGAACAAAATATAAATAATCCTCTCATCTATCTAAAATTATTCAAAATTAGAATTATAAAGGAAATTATAAAAAAGAAAAAGGGTGAGGAAAATGTAAAAAGGCAAAATGACTTGCAACCCCACACTGCCCTCAGTTGAGATATCAAGTCCTTAACAGGGATCAGAGATGAAAGTTCACAACACCATCCAATCAAGACAGAAGTGCAGAGTGCGTAACACTAATCAAACACAATCACGAGCAATACATCTTCCCCAGATGAAAGAGAAACAGTAAGCATTCCGGCGCTGACTTAAGACACAATTAGGAACTAAGGAAGTCAACTAAACCAATTGCCAACCAGAAACTCCATTGCGAAAGCCGAAAAGGAAGAATATACAGATAAAATTAAGGGAAACTTAGTCCAGAACTCTGCAATCCCACACTGAAACCAAACATGGTAACCTAGTCATCAGAAACCAGAAACACTGGCCAATCTATAACAGAGGATGAAATGAGAAATAACTATAAAATGATTAAATTTGCAAATTGCTATGACTTTGATTCATGGAAACTCAATGTTTCAAAGTACAGTAGGTTTAAGGGAAAGATTCACACCAATGTACATAAAAATAAAAGAGAAAAACCATTCCCCCATCCTCAAATCGTAAAGAAGATTTCAGCAACACATGAAATCTGTTGAACCCAACACATCTCCAAATTCAATAATAAAAAATTCATGAATTTCTCTACGAATCAGAAAAAAAGAGTACATACTAATATCCCACAAGCATGGAAAACTGAGTGAATCTATTACATAAAATGATAACCAATCCATCATTTGGATATCTAAAAACACTTTGGTCAAGAGGTGATTGGCTCAACAACAATCACAGAGTTTTCACAAGTGGGATGGAAACCACCAATTCGAGCTTTCATCTCACCCATAAAATGGGGGAGTTTATTGAGTGTGTGACACCTACTTGGGATCCGAAATAGTAACCAAAGGAACCACTTAAACTACAAATGCACCATCACCTAAAATTTCACCTCAAAAGTGCCAAGACATGTTTGTTGGGATGCAAATGGTCCCTAACTAAAATACAGAAAAATTAATCACAAAATTCACATCAAAGAAAGAAATCAATACTAGAATTCGAAGGAAAACAATAAAAAAAGAAACCAACACCATTCTCCAATTCATGAAAACCGCTGGTCAACCGTTTTTGATTGGATCAAACCCCTCACCAGTTTAGTGACCGGTTCGATCTAGGTAACTATGCGCAAAAAACATAAAATATGATAAGATAATATGCTAGAAGCAAAGGTTTGGACAAGGATCAAATACCACAACGAAAGACCAGGTCAAATACTATAATCAAATAAACCTCAACATTTTATTTATTTCTTAATCTGTTTAACTTTGTATAATAAACCTCAACATTTTGAAGCCACAAAAAAACTAACAGCCTAACGAGAACATCTAGGATTTTAAATTTCTACCATAAACATGACAACGTCACAACTAGGTCACCATATTTAATTAGTAAAATCAAATAACAAAGCTAATGCTTCACAATTCATCACAATAAACTCCAAATAACCAACTATTCTACCATCCCAAAATAAAATAAAATGACAAAAATGATACACACAGCAATCAACACAGTGGCATCATAAGCCTGATGTAATTTCCGCTAGAATCGTAAAAAATAGATGTAAAAGAAATAAACTAATTTACCAAAAAAAAAAAGGACTACAACAGAAGTGCAATTTGTGGTAAATATGGAAACATGAACATGTAGACAATCAAATACCTCGATTTCAACAATTAAAACCACACAAACTACCAATAATTAAATCAAACAATTACATATGAACAAAACCAATTTTTAGTTTAAAAAAGTAGATTTCAACAAATTGAAACCATGCAAATGACCAATAATCTAAACCAAACAATCACAGAACATCCAAATCCTAAACCATAAACTTTGTAGACAATCAAATACCTCGATTTCAACAATCAAAACCACACAAAGTACCAATAATCTAAATCAAACAATTACATATGAACAAAACCAATTTTTATTTTAAAAAAGCATATTTAAACGAATTGAAACCATGCAAACGACCAATAATCTAAACCAATCAATCACAGAAGAACATGCAAACCCTAAAATTTCAACCCAGGAATCACGACCTAGAATTCTAAGATAAATAATAACTCGATTTAGAAGCACCAAGCACCATTCGGATCCAAATACCAAATATGAAACAATAATTGCTAGCTCAATGAAACCAGAGATTTACTTGAAGGTTTGAATTCTCCTGAGAACTCGCAGAAGGCCTGAGATGATCCAGCAAGATCTTCTGTCTGAAAGCCGCCTTCTCCATTCCTCCCGCTCCTAATTCGCTCCTTTAGGATCAAACCACAGCAAAAGAAAGAGAAATCAACAAGAGAGAAAAAGAACGAAAGAAGAGATACACAGCGAGGACCAAGACAGTGGGGAAAATTGAGATATGGGGCTCTGGTATTTAAAGATTTAAGAGGAATTTATAGAGAGAGAGAGAGAGAGAGAGACAGAGGGGTGAAAAGCTAAATTGGGCTTGGAGATAAAACTGCTGATGACCTAGAAGGTTGGAGGATCAGCTCGACGAACCTTCTCTCTCACTCAATGGTCTCTCTCTCTCTTCCTCTTAATCCCCTCCCCTCTCCTTTCTCTCTCATCCAAAATGGGAATAGGACGATGTGATATTTAGTGCAGTGTACCGAGAGATTTATCTAAATGTTCGTGCCGTCACGGCAAACGAGGAACGCTATATTGTCCCCGCGATGTTCATGCAAGGCTGCAATATTTGCACTGAAAATGGTTAATACGGCTGCAGCTTTATCAAAATAAGTAAATCCTACCTCATAACTCGGAATTGAAAACCTTTACCTCGATCTTGAAAATTAATTTTAGAGCTATTAATGAGATTTTCATTATCGAATGTACTTTTCGGATGAAGAATTGAGGTTCCGCAGAGTCTCGAGTTTTTTTTTGAAGAGATCTAGTGTTCATTTATCGTATTAATATATAAATTTGTGATAAAGAATAGATGAGAAAATATAAAAATAAATCTTAGATTCTTCTACAATAACAAGACTTACTATAAATACAATATATTGTATTTACTCACTCAAATTTATTAACTACAATATACACTTTCTACATTAACCTGATAAACAATATATATTTTTCTTTCATACTCCCCCTCAAACTCAGACAATATGTACTTTCCTTTCACACTTCCCTCAAACTCAAGATGTTATGAGATAGAGTAGCTGGAGTTTGAACATTAAGTGCGGAAATGAACATGGTGTTAGAAAATCAAGGCAATATTAGAGTAGTTTCGATCAATCGAACAACAAATCTAGAGAGAAAAACATATCAGAGAGTCGAAAACGACTCGGTAGAGAGACAGATCCAAGAGTTGAAATACGACTCAGCAGAGAGTCGAAATAAGGCTCGAAAAAAATTGCACTGACTAGGTGAGCAACAAACTCGTTTGGAAAATCGACGACAATGCTTTAGAGACAAAAAATTAACACAACTAATATGAATCTAGCTCTGATATCATGTGAATAGTCTTAGGTTTCTCTGAAGAGACTCAGTGTCCATTTATCGTATAAATATACAAACTTGTCTTTTATAGAAAAACTATATATGAGAACATATAAAAATAAATCACATATTCCTCTATTATACCTAGACTTACATTAAATACAAGATATTGTATCTACCCTCTCAAATATATTGATTACAATATACACATTCCATATTAAACAATATATACTTTCATTTCACAGAGGTGAGGCTTTATTTTGTTTTCATAAAGCCTAGCCCTAACAGAAAGCTCATCCAGTAGGAAAAATGTAATGACAGTATTAAGGAAATACAAAAAAATGATTATTTTTTTTCATGTTTTGGATAATTCAGTGAGGAAGACATATCCCTACCCATTTTTTCTTATAGATTAGGGAGTTTGCCTTTTTGAAGGTGTCGGTAGGTGGCTTCAGTAGAATTAGAAACTACAACTTGGTAACTAGGTATGGGGGTGCTACCATTACAACCTAGCTCCTTTCCTAAAGTTAATATTTTAGTACAATGAATTCACAATAACAATCTCTCTTGTCTGTTAGATTTTAAATCAAGTTGTTGTAAATATGTCACTAACTAGTCTCAAGTTTTTTTTTAAAAGAAAATGTCAAAATTTATGACACTCCCCAAGCCATCTAATTTTATCGAGACCTCCTTGAAACAATGGTAAATTGTCTCATAAAAGATATGGCATTGAAAATTCCTATGATGGCTTGAAAATTATGCATTTACATCTAATTATGAAATTTAGAACTCCAAAAATATTGCAAATTGAACATATCTACAAAACTTTAAAAATCTTAAAAATAGATGATTTGGATAATATATTATAAAATGAACCATTTTTTAGGCCTTAAATCTTTTGTTTTCTTATCAATATATCTCGAGGTTGAGATGATCAATTCCCGGGTTTTCAAAATCTTTTTTTTTTGCCTATTGATTTAGGCATATTTTATTTCTCCATCATAAGATAGACAACTTATATGTTTCCTTGAATTTAATAAGCCTCGCTCATTTATATTTAGATTAGGGGAGTTTATGTGGTGTGATATTCTTGTGTTCACTTAGGCCATAGTTCAAAATAGTAGGCGTTAGATCAAAAAGAAGGACCCGATTTCTATACGGCCAATCCTGCAAATGTAGAAATGTGGGCTTATTAATAAATCTATTTTTGAGATGGATTTTAAGACTTGAATTTTAAGGACATATAATCTCTCACATGGAGATCATGAATATGAATAAATAAAATTTAAAAATTAAAAAGAATAATGCTAATAAGAAAACATTTGGACCGTTAGTTTCTATTGTTTTCAGATGGAACACCTACTTGCATTAATCTTTAAGATGGATGCTTTATACTTTCTGGACCGAACATGTAGTCATGCGGTCCAGCCTACATGAAACAATTTTCCTCAAAATTGTAACACAACACGAGTGGGATGACGAAGAGTTAGCAAAATGAGGATCTCCCAATGTGTTTCACAGGAGTTGGTCACTAGGAAAGACATGTATCTTTCTTTGTGTAATTGTAATCGCAAATAAATGTAAGTCTATAAAAAGCTCATGGACCCTTCTAATTTCAATTAAATAGTATTTAACTCCTCCACCTTTTCACAATCCAAACTGCAATATTTATCACTTATATTCTAATGATTCCACCACCCAAACCTTAGAAAAGCATGCGGTTCTCTCTCTTCGTCACCCATAGACCTATCATCCCACTCACTCTCTCTCTCTCTCTGACACCGTCCAAGAGTAGGTTAAATTTAGCACATCAAATTTCATTTAATGATGAGGTTATCAGGGAGAAAGAAATAAATAAAGTAATTTAGACAAGAGAAAAGTTTGAAAGGAGGTTAGAGGGGTTTATAAGCTTTTCCATGGATATGAAGATTTATTTAGATTAATCCCCACTAACTTACTACTTTTACTCACGAACAAAAGACAATCACATTTGTTTGTTCCACCCTTTTTTTAATCTCATATGACTACATAGGCATGTATTTTTCTTGCAAATAGATGATCGAAGCCAAAAGAGGGTACAAGGCTCCTCTAACATCCCGTCATACATCACTTTGGGCAGATTTGGTTCGCGTGAAAATGTTTCTCAAGAAATATTTTTATATGAAAAAATTCTTTCATGTGGTTAGGTGTAAGAATATTTTCACACCAATTAGTCATAGTGCATCTTTTCACATCAATTAATAACTAACTGGTGTGAAACTATTCCCAAACATAACCACAAAAGGGAATTCTCTCACGTAAAAATATTTCCCAATAAGGTTTTTTATGCAAACCAATAGCCCACTAGTATGAAACTTCTAAACTTTTAAGGTACAATTTCTCACAAACCATAGGCTACTTTTGCTTTCAAAGGGAACATCCAAGAAATTATAAGCCATATGATTATGAACATTGACTCCATGAGTATCACGAGTCAATTTTGTGCCCTTCTATGATACTTCTTATTTCGTATTAGCAAACAATTTATTTCAAAAGAGTTAATAAAGTGAGTTTGTTTTCAATGGGAACTTCCACGGAAGTGTGGGCCTCTTGGATATGAACCCAACTCCACAAGCATTACGAGTCAATTTCTATTGTCATGACCTTGGTCAATTAATTCTTTTTTTTAAAAGTATAATTCACATGGTCCTCACATGTTGAGAAAGCACTTAATTAATTAACACCTAAAATGGCATTGTGAACACACTTGCTTGGTCAGGCTTCAAACCTAAACATTTTTCGTTGGCATTGCTCACTGGGACGAATACATCTTTGTAGAAGCACATGGCGAACTTGGTCGAACCCAAGTTGGCCATGTGGTTTTCTCAATCACTCGGTTCCAACTTTTTTTTGATAGTTCAATAGTAGGAATCGAACCTGAGATGTAGCTTGCTACTCATTAGCTGCTAATGACTCAAGCCCAAGTTTGATTCCTAAAAGTATAGAATAATTTATTATGGAAAAAAGTATAAAATGATTTACAAACATAATGGTGGACCGAGATTCATGTAGTCGGCCCCAATTAGTTGATAACAAGGTTTCAATAATGATAATAGTGATAGAATCATTTATTTTTGGTATAACGAAGTTACAATCACTCTCAACTGTTATTGGCATGGCTCAACATCCTCGGGGAACGTCTACAATTTCCAATTATGAAATCTAGAAGGTAGAAATTGGGTACATAGCAACAAAAAATATTGTATTTGGTTAATCAGTCTAGAATCATAAGGATTTTGGAAAACTATGTTTGGTTTAAGCTGAAATTTTGTAAATTGGGAGATACTAGCCAATTTCAAGCATTCATTTGTGTTTTCGTAAACGAGATGGCAATGTTTAAGAAAATAAATGAGATCTCAAAATTATAGGCCTAGAGAAATGGACATTGTATACACATAAATTCTTTAATTTTATGTATACGTCAAATTGAGCTAAAATGTCGGGTTTCAGTACTTCTCACCCTTAAGCACCTATAAAAAATCTATAGAGAAAATAATTTGGAAAAATACAATTATCAGAATACTCTCATAGACAGTTGAGAGCAAGTCGGAGTATTTCAATTTTATTAAGTTTATATCTGAGTGCATTTGAGCTTTTCCTCTCTTTCGGGTGTTGCCAAAACTTGAGGCCCTAATAATACTAGATTGAGTTTTATTGGAGGGAGTGAATGAGGAAATAATTCAAAAGAAGCATAGAAAAAAAAATTGACTTTAAAGATTTTATCCTACTTGCGTCTTAAGTCAAAATATAGATTTACCAAGCCCATAAATAAGGGAACTTTTGATTTCTTTTGAACCAGGTATTAAAAAAACAATAATCTAGATTAAAATCGTCCAATCTGGATCGAGATCTGGTAAAGCCGGTCTGGTTCTCATTATATACCGGGAAGCAGGTTTTCTAAAAGAACATTCTAGTTATGTTAGAGAACTATCCCCACACTTTTTTTTATTTTTTTTCTTCAAGTCACTATTATTATTATTATTATTATTATTATT